CCAATGCCGTTCTGGACGGAGCCGACTGCATCATGCTGTCTGGAGAGACAGCCAAGGGGGACTACCCCCTGGAGGCTGTGCGCATGCAGCACCTGGTGAGTCCTTGGGGCCTGCCCATCTCCCGGCCTGGGCTCGGTCTCCGGCTCTGCTGCAGGCACACTCTGGTTCAGAGCCACGCGTCTAGGCTTCTGCACCCACACCTGTTATCACCTCCCAAGTCACACCGAGAATGAGGAAGTATTTGCATGGTGTGAGGGTGGGAGTGTGTGTTGTTTTTTTTCTCCCCTGCCTTCCCTGCCCACACTCCCTCTCCTATTTCTTATTCTGGGGGCGTCTTCCTCCATCCGATGTAACCTAATTCACTTCTGGCTCTCTCCCTTAGCTCAAGTACTGTTACTTGTACCTGTTCCTCTGGACAGTCCAGAGGACCGGGGTACCTTTGCCCTACTGTGGAAAAAGCTAAGGGCTCCTGCTCCCGCCATCCTTTTCATTTGGCTTCCGTTTTGACTCCCTACCTGCCCACAGACAGGTGCCTGCCTGCCAGGGGCCTCTGGGCCTGCACTGGAGGCTGACACCTGCACTGAGTTGACTGAGCTGCCTTGCATGGTGCCTGCAGCCGGACCTGCCATGCTGAGCTGTCGCACTCGTCCCAAACTAAAAAGTGGGGTTTCGGTGACAGGTGGGAGGGTGGCTGATCCTGGCTGGCCCTGGTGTGAAAGCATCTGGAGGGGTCCTGGAGGTGGCGCTTCTTTTTCTTCCACGGAGCTAGCTAGCTTTTCAGGGCTTTTGCACTCAGCCATGCCCTAGTGCCTGGCTGCTTCTCAGGGCTTGAGGCTCAGCTCCTCTGCCCTGTCTTCTCCTGCTCCAGAGCTTACTATAAAGAGTTCACACGAGGGTCAGCTTGTCAGGGTTACTTATGCCTGGGAAAATGAGGGCTACAAATTAACCTCCCCACAGTAGTCCTAGGTCAGTGTTGATAATACATAGCTCAGTGAACTCGTCTCTTTATCCTGAAACGGTTTTTCTTTAACCCTCCTATTCCCTTTCAGTCAACAAAGGACACCATGCACTATATGTGACACCCCTTCCCCTGCAATCCCCCAGTTAAAGTAGCCCCCCAAAATGACCTCTAGACTAGATATCTTGCTTTCCTCCTTCAATCTCTATGTGTCCAATTATTAGGCTTAAATGGTTTCCGGAGAACGACATGTCATTTATTGTTTTAACTTATTTCAGTGGTGAACTGAGACATCTTGACTTAAGATGTGCTCTGGGGCTGCCCTCACCATCCTTCATGGAGTTCCTCATGATGAAGTTGGTAGAGACCAGTCCTGTCCTGGGGTGATTGTACCCCTGGCCCTGGCAGATGTGCCACCCTGTTTGTGAGACAGCCTTGCTGTTCTGATGCTCAGGTACCCTGAGCTCATTCTCACGACGGCCCCAGTAGTGGGAAGGTACTGTCTCCTGGGAGACAGTTGGCCTTGAACCAGTCACCTCTAGAGTGACTGCTGGTACATTTATGGGTCTCTCCTCACATCCCCTTACTAATTGCCTTGCTTGGATGTGTGGCCTCAGGTGGGAGGGCAACCCTGATTTCCTGAACCATGCAACCATGAAGACGGTGGGGATTTAAATGTGTCTTTGGGCAAATCACTTAGCCTCTCAAAGCCTATCTGTAAAATGAATTCAGTGGGACATGTTTAATTATAGACTGCTGTTATTAACTGTCTGATAAGTCCCTGTGTAGATTGATGTATTCTTCAGCACCTCTGTGAGATAGACGTTGCCCCAATTTCTAGGTGAGGGTTACATGATAATAAAGCCTGAGTTTGAGCCCAGACCTGCTGGGCTCTGTCCTGAACAGAACGCTTTGTCCAGCAGGAGATCCACTGGGTCTTCTTGTGGGGCCTGGACTGGGGTCAGGGACTAAAGATCTGGCTCTGGGCTCTCACTTGCATGTCCGTTTTTTCATGCCCCAGTCTTTCCTATACCAGACGGACACCTTAGAGCTGTAGGGCTTGGATGGCATGGCCCTGCTCAGAAGATAAGTACGGGGTCCAGGCCTCTCCTTTCCACATCCCTAGTTAACCTGGCTCGCAGCTTCTCTTAACAGCTCACTGTTCTCTCCTGTCTAACTGATGCAGTTAATGTCCATAACTCAGGGATAGGCAGTACCAGGTATGGTTCAGTTCCTGTTGCTGTCCCTGTCCCCTGTCCACTGTCCTTTGGGCTGCATGCATTCCATTCTTGCAGAAAGAAACCCTCTAACCTAGTAAGCCCTGCCACATATCTGCTTATACTGTCAAATTAATGAAATGATGTTAGTGATTCTTCCCTCACCCATCATTCTCTTGAGATGCTGGTAATTATGTTGTAATTCTCTAAAGCTTACATTTTCTTTCTAATTCTTGGTGTTATCTGAGCAAGTGGTCTATAAATAACTCAGTGGCTTTCTCATGACTTTTAATCATTTGATTTTAATCAGATGTCTTGTTAAACTTACCTGCATGCTTCCACAGGCATCTGTCTCCACATGGCTGTTCAGTGCACCCTCGAATGGTTGCCAGTTTTTCCACCCTGCGGCTTAGAGTGCGGTTAAGCCACATGGCTTTGGCTTTGTCTGACCCCAGCTTTCCAGTGCTGCTCAGTGCATTTCCATGGCAGGCCATTGGAAAGGGTTGTAGCACCCCTGTGCTTAAAGCCAAGCCAAGCACTCCGTGAGTGCATGGAGGCAGACAGCCATGTGAGGGCGGGGATCTATTCCTTCCTGTAAGCTGTGTCATGAGGCAGTGTGGCCAAGTCCTGCCAGGGAGTGGCATGGGCCCAGCCTATGCATGTTTCCATGCTAACGTGCTAGAGGCTGCCGCCATATTGTCTCCCTCGACCAATCATAAAGTTTGTCCAGAATGGAAGAACCAGTTTCCCCTCTGTTGGTGGGGAAGCAGCAGCGATGATGCTGGAAATTCTCCCCACTTCCCTGAGCAGGCTTGCTTCACCCTGCCTCTTTGCATCTGCCTGAAGGATAGATTTAGCCAATTAACCTAAGGTTACCTTCTCTGATTAATTCCCCATTCTGTCTTTCCATGTTGTCCTCGTTTTTTTCCCTCCTTCTTTCCTCTTTGCCTCCCTCCCCGCTACACCTTACAGATAGCTCGTGAGGCTGAGGCAGCCATGTTCCACCGCCAGCTGTTTGAAGAACTGGTGCGAGCCTCAAGTCACTCCACAGACCTTATGGAAGCCATGGCCATGGGCAGCGTGCAGGCTTCTTATAAGTGTTTAGCCGCAGCTTTGATAGTTCTGACGGAGTCTGGCAGGTAGGGCCCTAAGGGCAGGTAACTCTGTAGGATAACCAGCCTCTTGCTCCAGCTGCTCTTGAAGTCAGGGATGAGCCCTGCACCTGAGGCCTGGCCTCAGCCTTTTTTCTCATCTTCAGGAAGCCAGCCAGGGAGCTCAGGGCAGGGCAAGGCCAAAGGGCCCTTCAGCTTGGTAGGCACAGGTGGTGTCACAGGTACCTGGTGAAGGACTGGTTTCTGTGATTCTTGACCTTGCTCAGCTCAGAACCTCAGTGATGGGGCTCCTCTTGGCCTTCGCACTCAGGGACACGTTCCTCACCAGCTGTCTGTGCAACCTCTCCCTCTCCACTGTGACACAGCTCTGACAGCTCTGTCCCCTGTTGTCCCTCTGGACGGATGTTGCTCCCCTAGATTGCCCGTGAGGCAGAGGCCGCCATCTACCACTTGCAATTATTTGAGGAACTCCGCCGCCTGGCGCCCATTACCAGCGACCCCACAGAAGCTGCCGCCGTGGGCGCCGTGGAGGCCTCCTTCAAGTGCTGCAGTGGGGCCATAATCGTCCTCACCAAGTCTGGCAGGTAGGAGTGGCAGCAGCTCCTTGGGAATGCCCTGCTCAGTGGCACATTTCCCTGGGGGTCCTGGGAGCCGCGCATTGAACAGTGCTCAGATGGCACTGAGCCAAGGTAAGACCGCTGCCTGCCACTGGACCCTGCAGGGAAGGAGCCCCTCAGCCCCCAGGCCAGGACCCAGGAATGAGCGGAACCCCATCTCTGGGCCCAGAGGACTCCAGGCGGGGGAGCTTGTGGATCCTAAGAAAGTGTACACCTTTAGGATGAACTAGAGACTTCACTGTGTAACCACAGATAAACTGATTGCTTGGTATTTCAAAGCTGGTCCTTAAAATAGTAAAAGACCACCAGCTTTGCGTGTGCTGGTTTTTATGTGCTCTTTAAAGGTTCAGTTTGGAAAATTAGTTCTGTTCACTGACATGCTCCTCGGTTCGGTTGGTGCACACGTCCCTGTCTCTGCCTGAGCCCCCAAGTCAAGTGGGTTCTGGCCCAGGAAAGGTCACTCTGGTGACATGCAGCCAAGCTGAGGTCTGTGTTCAGCCTCGGACTTGGGATCCTTTCCTAGTCCTGGACATGGAGTTATCGTCCTTCACGCCCCAGTGTGGGGTGTGCTCCTCGTCCCTGCCCACAGGGCAGCGAGGCTTTCCTGGAAGAGGTGCATACAGGCAGGCCTCGACACAGCTCTGTGCCGATTCCCTCAGCAGAGAGCTCAGGATAAGGAGCTCTGACCATCAGTGCTGACCTTTATGAAAAGGTCCCGGCTTTGCTGTCTGGCTATTTTTAGCTCCGGTCTTCTGGGATTTGACTCGCAGCCTGTCCTGACTTAAGCAGTTGCTTCCCTCTGAAAGCCTTGTATGGAGGCCAGGCCTTAAGCATTGCACTCTCTGCCGTGACATGGCTTAAGTTTCCTCAACACCTGTTGAATGTCCTCATAGCTTGCCTTCTGGGGCACAGTCTCTCCTGCACGCTCTTCCCCAACTCTCCAGACAACATCTGCAATGACAAGTGTACGTGTCAATGTTCAAGGAAGCACTGGGGCTTCAAAGGGGTTCCCTATCTTCCAGAGGAGCCTTCACAGGCAGAGTCTCCCACACACATTTCGTCTCCTGGCCTTGCCTCCTTGGTAGCACCCGGATTTCTAGGCCTGCCTCAATTAGATCCTCAGGTTTGACTTGGTTTGTAGAGCTCAGTCAGTTGCTGGGACTGTTTCAGGGACCTGGGCCACGTGGGGTGAGGAGAGGGCCCAGCAGTAGGGAAAGCTTGGGCTCCGTTCCTGATCTTGGCAGATATCGAGTCAGGTGCTGTTCACATGCCACTTGGCTTGTAGCTGCTGCTAACAGCAAGGGGAGTGGGTGCTGGTGAGGTTGGGCCCAGGGCTACCTCTGTATGCCAAAATGAAAACGTTCAAAGGGGGGTTCTGCCAGCTCTGGGCCACGTGGGGAAAGTGGGTGAGACCAATCGTGCTGGGTCAGTAGGATCCTGGGGCCCTGGCCTGTGAGGAGGGGTGGAGAGCAAATGGGTTGCATAGCTACAAAGGAAAGTTATGTGCTATGGGGGATACAGGAAGAGGGCCTGCCCCAGCTGTAGGAGGCAGCTCCCCACTCACACAAGGGGGCCCAGGGAGCAGATGCTGAAATGAAATGGATAGAGCCTCAGATTAGCATAGTGAGTTGGATTAGAGGGTTAAACTGTTGCCGAAGGCTGTGGGGAGCTTCCTGGGAGGCTCCTGGGACACTGTTGAATGGTCTCTTCTGCCTGTCCCCTATCCCTTCTCAGGTCTGCTCACCAGGTGGCCAGGTACCGCCCCCGTGCCCCTATCATTGCTGTGACCCGAAATCACCAGACGGCTCGCCAGGCCCACCTCTACCNTCTTTCATCCGCAAGGCAGCCGATGTCCACGAAGTCAGGAAGGTTCTGGGAGAAAAAGGAAAGAACATCAAGATAATCAGCAAAATTGAGAATCACGAGGGAGTTCGGAGGTAAGCATCCTCAGCACCTGTCCCCCGCCTCCTTTCAGCCCCAGCCCAGCTCTCTGTGTCAGAATGCAGACTCCTGAGCCTGGTACAGAAACAACGAACCAGAGTATCCTAAGCGGAGTGGTTGAAGGCATTGGTATTTTTTTAAAAAGCTTGCCAGATGATTGGGGTGCCGGCATCTTGACATTATCCCAGAGGCCCAGGGACTGACCTTGGAGAGGACAGGGTTGGGAGCCACTGTGCTGTACTCCTTTGGGACCACTACCTGTGTGGGCTGGAATGGCGGGGGGATCACTAACGGGGAGGCAGCAGGCAGGCTCTTAGGAAAGGGCTCCTTCTGGCCCCTCACTAGGGAGCCACGTGGAAGCTCTGGGCTTGTCAGGTGGTGGCCGCCTCGTCTTCACTGAGAAGAAAGCAGCTGGCTTGATGACCAGGCCAGCTTTGGCACAGTGTCAGCTTCTCAGAGGAGAGCTGCGGCTCACCCAGCTCATATTGTCCCAGCTCAGCTTCACCACCTCCATTGCTCACCATTTAGCGCCAAGTGCTTGTGGCCATCTTGGTGACATCTGTGCCTCTTTGGCTCCCTACTAAAAACACAACCAGCGCAGCTAAAATCCTGTATATACTCGTGCGGATTGGGCATGTGCTTCTGGGGGACCGGAGGAGCAGCTCTACCCACTGTTGTGACCTTGCTATCCTTGGCTTTGTGTATCAGGCAGCTTGGGGTCCTCCCTCTGTCATCTTGATAAGCCAGCTAACCTTGGCCTCAGGCCAGGCAGAGCCATATGCCCTCTTGCTTTCAGCAAGTTGGAGGGGACCTTTGTGATGGGAGTTGTCAGCAGGCCTCAGGTTCCCTTTCTGCCTTGAAAGTGTTGGCTGGAGTGAAGATGGCAGAGACCTCGGGAGGGGCCTTATGAGAGGCAGGTGGAGGAGGAATGAACCTGTGGAGCTTGAGAGGAGACCTCACTCCCTCCCCAGTGAAGTATCCATACTAGTGCTAAAGAAACCCAGCAGGCTGAACTCTCGGGCCACTTTGGGGGACTGAGGTAGCTGGAACACCCCATCATCTCCATGCACCCAAGGTGACATCATGGTGATGTCTGTCATGTCCTGTCCTTGCAGCTGCCAAGTCAGAATCCCAGGAAGAATTCCTTGGCATCACTACTGGTGGCCCGTTCCCATACCCTCTTTCCACCTTCCCTGTCAGGTTTGATGAGATCCTGGAAGCCAGCGATGGGATCATGGTGGCCCGTGGTGATCTAGGCATTGAGATTCCTGCAGAGAAGGTCTTCCTGGCTCA